TATGACCCGCATCAACAAACCCTTGGAATCTGATGTCGTCGGCGTCGGTGTCAGTCCCCGTGCTCCTTTTAGCGTTGGAAGTGCTTATTCTACGTCTTCCTGCCTTACCATTCCAGTAGTCTGACCGAAATTAACGAGGCTCGTTACACCGCAGAACGTCTTCTAAATAATGTGACGTGCGTCGATTCATTCAGCGTGAACGCCGCAAAATATACCTTAGAGCGTTATTTACATGATAAGATTCTGCTAGCAATTTTCAATCATGACGTCACTCAGGTTGCAAAAGCGTGTACGGTAGGTAGCTGCGATGCTCGACGTCGAATCTGAAAATCGCAAGCAGAATTGAGCGATAGGAATTCGGTAAAAACAAGTTGGTGATGGAGAGTGGTAACAATGATCGGCATCTCCTTCAATATACAGTTTACACCGAGCCTACTTACAGAAAACGACCTTCAAACCTAAACGTATTTTGAGGCATGCATATTTTATCGCAACGTTTGTCTAGTGATCGCTGTCGTTTGAACAAGCAGAGGACAGTTTGGACGAGTTTGAAAGAAAATATTAGACTTTGAACGATCAGGCGGCCGTTTGATCGCGAAGGCGCACTGAACGTGGTCCGCGGGTGGATCGCACAACTTCAAGGTTTTTTCGGGATCATGTTGGGACAAAACAAATAAATCTTACGACCTCAAGTATCCCAGGATTCAACCCAAAGGGCTTCGCGCACAAGCGATCATGTTTCGACGGTGTCTGGTTTTCTTTTTTATAGCACCTATCCACGTTCCCAGGCGAACCGGTCAGACAGAAAACACGTGGAAAGTTATCTCCAAACATTTCCCGGCAGTTTTGGTACAACCCCAGTCGCGGCGTTTTGACGAAAAGGCAGGTTGTAGTCTGCAAAGGTTCGAATTGACGGTCCAATTTGACAGTCCAGCGTTAAGGCAAATACCGTGTAAGCCAAAACTGGCAACTCCCGAGGATCGCGGGCGAAAAGTGATCGCAGCGCCCCTGGCGAGCTCAGAGTCTCCGCTAGCAGACGAATTCTCCACAACGCATTGGTTTTGCCGATCTCCGTGCGAGCTGACTAATGAAAAAGATTGTCACGGTTATTCGCTGCTTTGAATGTTAAAAATAGGTGCCACTTCATGAGTGAAGAACATCTTCGTGTGGGACAGATGTTACAGCTTGCAGGGTGCAATTTTAGGGCTCTCCTGAAGAAAGCACTCTGTCAGAACATACGTAAGCCAGGCAAACCACGAATGTACCTTCACCCTGTTTCTTCAAAAAGGGCAATGCACCAAACTTTCAGAACATAGCTACGTTTCAACTTTACTGTTCTTATTAATCCTTGTTTAAACCTGTCACCCAACCTATCAGTGTTACCCGATGTTTTTATCTCTCCCGATGGACTGTTTTCAGCGTTGCTTAATCTTTCGACAAAAAAAGCTGCTGGTCACGACAGCATTCAAAATATGTTCCTCGTTCGCTACGCAGAATGGTGCTCAAAGTATCTTTATCTAATATTAAAAAAAAAATCATTGTCGGAGTCCGTCATTCATGTAGAATGGAAGATTGCCAAGATCGTTCCCGTTCACAAATCTGGATCTCATCTCTTGCCTGGGAACTTCCGGCCGATTTCTCTGCTTCCTTACTGCTCTAAACTCTTAGAGCACGTTGTTTTTAAACATTTGGCAGCGTATTTAGAAAATCACAACTTTTTTAATGTGAATCAACATGGTTTTTGTCATGGCCTTTCAACCACAACGCAATTACTTGAAACCGTCCATGATTTTGCTGAAATATTAAATCGTTCTAAACAGGTTGATGTAATTTTTCTTGACCTCGCCAAAGCGTTTGACAGAGTGTCACACTGTAAACTTCTAAAACTTAAATCAATCGTGCAAAACGACATCACCTACTCCTGGCTTGAAAATTACTTGCTAGAAAGAAAACAGTACGTTCAGATAAACTCTAGTGCATCCTCGCCAGTCCCTCTGCTATCAGGCGTTCCACAAGGGTCAGTCCTTGGGTCTTTACTTTTTTCAATTTTTATAAACGAAATCACTGCTAACATTCCTGTGCGAGCACGTTTATTCGCGGACGATGTTGTTATCTTCACTGAGGTAAATGGTGTTAGTGACCAGACATTACTTAACAGCTGCTTATCCAAGATCCACGATTGGTGTGACTCGTGGCAGATGTCACTAAATGTTAACAAATGTGTTCGCATGCATATAACCCGCAAAACTAGTTTTCTTTTTTATAATTATTCCATTAACAATACTGTCCTAGCCGAAGGGACTTCCTATAAATACCTCGGTGTAATCATTTCAAACGACCTGCGTTGGAACACCCATATAAAATATATTGTTCGCAAGGCGTTAACTAAACTCTGGTTTCTCCGGCGAAATTTAAAGCAAACCTCATCGAATGTAAAATAACAGCCTATAAAACGTTTGTTCTGCCTATATTAGAGTATGCGTCCGTTGTCTGGGACCCGTTTACTAAAACCAACATAAATTTACTTGAATCCATACAGAGAAAATGCTTGCGTTTCATATAGAACAAATTTCAGAGACAATACCCGGTTTCCGAACTATATGTGTGTTCCAGCCTTAGCCCATTAACCCATAGACGCATGTTTCAAAGATTAAAATTTTTGCTCGACCTACTAAACTACCGATTCAATATTGACACCTCTACATATATTTCACCTGCTCTTCATAATTACCCCACGCGAAATTTTCATTGTAGATCATTACAAGAATACAGCTGTAGGGTCGATGTATTTAAGTTCTCATTTCTCCCAAGGACCATTCATGATTGGAATGCCCTACCCAGTCACATAATAAATGCTTCATCTGAGTCATCACTCATTGCTAACCTTCGCAGTTTCTGTAACTCCTGCGATTGACGGTATTTCTTGTAGGTTGTTTTGTTGTTGTTGTTGTTTTTGTTTTGCTTTAATTTTTTATTCAATACTGTATAATGATGACATTGATGGCCTTATTCGCGTGTGCTAAAATCACTAGAAATGTATGCCTTATACAACATTATATACCCCCTCCTACCACATCTCCCGAAGGAGATAGTAGTATCAATAAATAAATAATAAAAAAAAATAATCAGCAAGGCATGTAGTTGGGCTAGTTGGTGGTACATACTGTTTGGAGGGAACAGCGCATTAATCAAATCGTTTCGTTGTTGAAATTCCGATTTTTCATGAATGTATGGCTTAAAACCGTTCAGTCTCATAGGTTTGCTGGCTAATCCCGTTAAGATTGTCTCTGGATGAAAAAGCAAAAGGCAATTTTGAACCAAGTACATTACTCCGATGTCCGTCTGCTCTGGAAGAAGTTGATTGTGCACATGCAAATCTGACGTTATTACTGACACTAATAAAAGCACAGTTACAAGAAAGCAGCCTTCTCGCACTTGCAAAAGAAAAAAGAGGAGTGCGTCGCAGCGCAAATAAAGGTGATTTCGGTCACGTTATATATGGTGCACAAATTGCGATTGTCAACGGCGGGACGACTAAGGTCTTCTGCATCTTCTACGTTAAAACACACAAAGAGATCAAACGCACGCACAGAAAAAAGAAACCTTTATCTGTAGGCCACCTCGCGACATGGCAGTGACTTTGATAAAATTGTCGACGTCAGCACTCATAAAATGAGCACACTGCAGGGCACCGCAGTGACCTTGAAAAAAAAGTGCCGAACTATCCTAAACTTTGTTGTTTTTTATGTTTATTTCTACTGTCGTCTTCGATAACCTGTTCTCACCTTCGATTGAGTTTCTAATCGTAAATCTTTTTATGTGTTCTTTTTATACTTAATAAATATATTAAAAGTGTAAGCTCCTTATACATTTCTGTTCGGATTTTACTTGAGTACGGCGGCGCATCTGCTATGGATCATCGTTTGCTGATCAACCAATCGCCTTCGGGCATACACCAGCCATGGGCGTCCGGAAGGGGGGGGCAAGGGGGGGCGGTTGCCCCCCCCCCCCCCCCCCCTACAACTTTGGAGCATTTCTTTTTTTTAGTTTGAGCATGCATTGGTAAAAAGCTACTCAACTTTTACCAACACACTGGAGTTCTCCATATGACAAGAAGTCCGCCCTATCCGTACAAAACGCCCTTTAGGATTGCGAGCCGACTTTACATGTCACATATTATGACTGATCTAGCCCGTCCGGTCCCGGTGGTGAAGGAAACACTGGCTGGCTATTGAAGATATTTATGATAGAGGACAATTCTAAGCTGAAAGTTCGATGCTATTTTTTTCTTATGAATTTCATGGATTTTGGATTCTTAGATCGTACAGTAGAGTTTTTGTATCAAATTGCCCACTACATTTCGGGGGAACAAAGTACCATTCGCACGTGGCTTCACATCTCTTTGTATCCCCCCCCCCCCCCCCCCCCCCATCCCAAACCCTCAAAACCTGAACCATAAATCCGCCCCTGGAAAAACTTGTACTGCATTCAAGGTTGAGGGAGTAGTACCTTTTAATAGGAACCGTTTCAACGAAGCTAAGTTGCTACGCCATCATTTTTAGATTCCAGTTAAATCAAACCGAAACCAAATTTGATGAATTGTTACCTATCTTAATAGTAAGGTTAATTAATTATATACGCTGTTTTTATTGCTGAAAGTCTTTAATACGTTACATAATTTACCTTGCCTTGTTTTCTGTGTATAAGAACGAGTGTCAGACACTTCAGACGAATGAAAGCAACCAAAACACCAGGATAGCCGCATAGTCATCGACACGGCTGCGATCTGCCGGTACTGCGCGGGCTTCGGTGTTCTGTACGCCGTGCTGGGATTTGCTGGCGTGGAGTGAAGAATTGAACAAACAACGATTACAAAGACGTAAGCTACTGCCCGCTATGACTGTTCACTGTGTCCGTTACAATCAATCCGTCCATTTCGCCTGTTCGCCATCTCCCACGAGGCACTCTCTAGTCACCTTTGCCTAGCGCGATCCGAAACAATGGACATTCGACACTTCTTCAAGCGTCAGCGGATGTGTGACGAAGTGTTATCAAGTTGTCCTGCTGAAGATCCTGGTGTGACATGTTTCAACGTTGCCACATCTGACCAAAGTGAAGCAAGCTTTCATCAGCAGACAGCAGCTGACATCGTCGAGTCTACGAGAGGGACTGCACCAACGGTGAGCTCCCACGACGTAGTAAACTACGATGATTTCCCTTCCCCTTGTTTGGGTTTAAACCAAAGTGACACCAGCAAGGAAGCAACTCGGGTCTTTAATAATTACGACTTGGGAGAGTTTCTAGACAAAGCTAAACACCCGAGCATCCCGGACTCTTTGAAGTTACGCCTTCTTAAAGACGCATGGACGCCAGATGTAAAGTACGACTTTAAGAAAGATGTAACGTCTGTCAAAAGGAGTTTCCGCTACCAATGGCTGGCAGATTACTCCCCTTGGCTTGCGTACTCAGCGACAGCGAAAGGCGCCCTTTGCCGTTACTGCGTCACTTTTCCCCCGAATGTTCACCGCGGCACTCAAGGTAGCTTTATCGTGCGTGCTTTCATGAACTACAAAAAGATGCATGAGGCGTGCAGGGATCACGTAAAGTCCCAATGGCACCAGGAAGCAATGGCAGCCTCACAAGACTTTATGAATGTAATGATGAGCAAGCAGCTACCCGTTGCACAGCAGCTGAACAGAGCACTGCATCACCAAGTTGAAAAGAACCGCGAGAAACCATTTCCTATAGTTTCCACCATCATCTTTTGCGCAACGCATGACTTGCCTATTCGCGGGAAGCAGTCTGACAGTGGAGTCTTCAACGATCTCCTTGATTTTCGGGTGGAAGCTGGAGATGCTCGACTTCAGGAACACTTCGCTTCTTGTGCTGGCAACGCAAAGTACACTTCTGTCCGGATCCAGAACGAGATCATCACAATCTGTGGCGACATCCTGAGGGAGCAAATTGTGTCCGAAGCTAACACAGCGTTGGCTTTCTCCGTCCTTGCGGACGAAACGGCGGACATTGGAGAAACAGAACAGCTGTCTATAGGGATTCGCTTTATTGACAAGGCGGGAACCGAGGCATTCGTTCGGGAGCAGTTTATGGGATTTTTAGAGCTGGAACAACTGAACTCCGCTTGCATCGCCGCTACAATCTTGAAGTTTTTGAAGGATGCCGGGCTGATTGTGTCGAACCTCGTTGGACAGGGATACGATGGATGCTCTACAATGGCTGGAAAAGAAGCTGGAGTAAACAGAATAATACAGAAAGAGCTTCCTAAGGCACTATTCTTCCACTGCGCAAGTCACAAACTCAATCTCGTGATCAACGATCTGAACGAGGTCTCTGAAATTCGAAACACGATAGGGGTCATCAAACAAAACATAAACTTCTTCCGTGAAAGCGTGCTCCGAAGGAAATTGGTGCCCAACATTCCGATGCTGTGTGAAACAAGGTGGTCTGCAAAATACAAGTCAATTCGGATCTTCTCTGACCATTACGTGGCCATAGTCGAAGCGCTCGAGGACCTGGCATCAATGGAATCAAGCTCGAATGCTGCAACGAGGGACCGCGCTCATATCCTCCACTGCGCAACAACGAGCTCATCTTTCATCGTCTGTTTGCACATTGTCGCGAAGTACAGCGCACGGCTGGAACCCGTTACGAACATTTTGTAGAGTGTATCCATGAATTTCCATTCTGTACACAACCACATCACTGAGCTGCAGAATATTTTTCGCGGCCACCGGACCAACGCTGAAGAGCAGTTCTCGGATATCATGAAGACAGCAAGTGAAGCGGCCAATCATCTAGGCGAGTTGATATCTGTACCCAGACAAGCCTCACGGCAGGCCCACCGAGACAACTACGGGATACAGTTGCCGGAAGAGTATTACCGCGTGGCAATATATGGGCCGTACTTGGACTCTCTCAATGCTTCTTTGGCTCGCCGCTTTTCTGAAAGCAACAAGAAGAGCTACAGACTTCTCCAGCTGCATCCAGCAAGAATGAAGCACTTGAGTCGCGTTGAGTTTGCTGTTCTCGCCGATGAACTCCAAGGCTTTTACGGCATCGAAAACTTCAAGGAAGAGGGCATCTCCTGGTATGAGATGTGGCTCAACAGAACTGGGGACTGCTCAGAAATATCTTATCCCGAACTTCTGCTTCAGGCAAAGACGTTCTTCCCCGCTGTCGCAAACGCCATCGAGGTGGCTCTTGCCTTACCAGTTACCACCTGCACTGTCGAACGCTCGTTCAGTACACTAAGGAGAGTGAAGACGTGGCTACGTTCAACTATGAGGAACGATAGGCTGGACGGCCTTTGTATGATGAGCGTACACCGGGAGCGTGTAATGAAACACAAGGACGACTTTATCACCCGTGTAATCACGCAATTTGCCCAGAAAAATCACAGGCGTCTGCAGCTGTTATTCAAGGAAGACTAACTACAGTCGCATGTTGGTGAACATTTTGTGTTGTGTGCTGGTCATCAGTTCGCGTGAGCCGTGAACTCACGTTCACAGAGACTTGGCACTCTTGTTGTCAACATATTTTTTAATAATTTTTCTGCAATTTGAATAATTAAACTTAACGCTTTGTTCAATAACAAAATCCAGTCTCTTTTTTAAGCTTGGTAGTTTCCCTTGCCGTTTCTAATATTTTTTTTTATCCTTGAAGTTTACACCGGAAATCGCGCATCTTTGGCAATTTCTTTTCCCTTAACCCCCCCCCCCCCCCCTTTCCCCGGCCCTTTATGTGCACGGGTGCCCCCCCCTGGAAAAAGTTCTGTGGACGCCCATGACACCAGCTCATACTTGGAGATGGCAGGCATGCCATGTGCTGGCCTACCACTGCAAAAAACAAGTTTTTGCGATGTGGTGAAAATCCATCTTCCGCTTCCCGAAGACCGAACAAACGGGAGTAATTTCAACTTCAAATTAAACTGGAAGAGCTACCCAAGTCTGGCTTCAAAATCGCCACTGACGCCTCAACAGACGATTATGACAACTCCACGGAGATCGCGGAGAACCTAACGAATGACACACCAGATGTACAACTGAACACCCAGTCCTATGTACCCGGGTGAGCAGCCAGTCAGATCTTTCATCATGCTTGCTAAGTCCAACTGCAATCAGGAACATCTTGAACGGCACTTTGTTGAAGAGCAAGGAATGCTCCCATGAGAAAATGACACCATCTTACGACTTAGCTCGCCACCTAGCCGGTAACATCAGCCGTGCTTTTGACACACAATTCGCTAATATATTGCACCTAAGAAGAGTTCAGCTGAAGCCGCACTTGAGACCGCCGATCGACACTCGAAACAAAGGGACGGTGTACAAGGATAGCCTTCGACATGTACGTCAACAAATACATGTACCTTTGAACTTATTCGGCAAGCGAACAAACAAAGAACCTGCCAAAGTGACTGGGAAGAGAAATGCGAAAGCAAAAAAGGGTCCCGCACTGCTACCACGTAGCAGATTGCAGCGTGCGACTCTTAATTAGCGGGAAGTGTGAGCTGGACTACGTTATTCATTTCCTCAGTTTTGTTCTTAGTTCCTACCAACGCCGCGAAAGCAATTAAACAGACGTGTAACATGTAGCTAAAAAAAAAAGTTGAGCTTTTTTTTAAATAATTTCGTCATGTTGCTTCCGCTTTGTTTGGTGTTAACTCAACACCGACGGACACCACCACCTGCTAAATTTCAATGCTTTTACCGACGCCCCGCGCGATCGTCGTCGTTGAACGAAGTCTTTGCTGGGTGATTTGTATCTTTGTGTCGTCCGGCTAACTTCTTTGTTTCATTCGCCATTGTTCGCGACTGTTCCCCATTTCTTTTTTTTTTTTTTGTCTGAAATGGAGATTTCATTTTTTCTGCAAGGTTCGGAAAGTGTTTGCACGGTCATTTCCTGGTTACTTTTCGTTTTTGTAATACTCCAGAGGCTGGTGCGCTTGCTCTGGTAATTTTAACACGTTCTTTGCGCACGCTTTATAATCACCTATTCAGGTAAGAAATTGTGGCAACGCAGTTTGTAACGGATCAAAATGAACCTTTTACGACTTAGGTGTAGTAGCTAGACGGGTTTTTTCCGCTTCCCAGACGCGTTTCAAACGCATGTGATCCCCTGAGAGTCGTTTGGGACCGCTAAATAAACTGCTCTATCTTTGTTTCTGCGCGCGTTGTTATAAAATTGTCGTTGCAGCTGCGATCAGTGGATTCCGCTTTGCAAGCGGACTGATTGTAATGAATTGTTTCAGTGGTTGAGGTGACAAAACGGGGCTCGCAAAGCTCGAGGACGTCGCCGAGCCTATACTTTTCCATTGCGTCGTCTGTAGACTCCGAATCCGCTAGAGGAGCCACTGACACCTTTGCCACTGC